CTCTCAATTCAATTTAATGGGCTTTATTGGCATGGGAAACATATGTTTACATTGCCAAAGCAAGTGAAATGGATAAACAAAAGTGAATTAAACAATAAAAAGAGAACAGTAAATATTACACTCACTCAAGTTCCAAAAGAATAAAGACATTTCAAATGTCACATGTCTATATACAGTGTTGTAACGATGTGCAAATAGTTAAAGTACAAAAGGGAAAATAAATAAACATCAATATGGGTTGTATTTACAATGGTGTTTGTTCTTCACTGGTTCCCCTTTTCTTGTGGCAACAGGTCACAAATCTTGCTGCTGTGGTATTTCACCCTACAGATATGGGAGTTTATCAAAATTGGATTTGTTTTCGAATTCTTTGTTGGTCTGTGTAATCTGAGGGAAATATGTATCTCTAATATGGTCATACATTTGGCAGGAGGTTAGGAAGTGCAGCTCATTTTGTGGGCAGTGTGCACATAGCCTGTCTTCTCTTGAGAGCCAGGTCTGCCTATGGCGACCTTTCTCAATAGCAAGGCTATGCTCACTGAGTCTGTACATAGTCAAAACATTCCTTAATTTTGGGTCAGTCACAGTGGTCAAGTATTCTGCCACTGTGTACTCTCTGTTTAGGGCCACATAGCATTCTAGTTTGCTCAGTTTTTTTGTTAATTCTTTCCAATGTGTCAAGTAATTATCTTTTTGTTTTCTCATGATTTGGTTGGGTCTAATTGTGTTGCTGTTCTGGGGCTCTGTGGTGTCTGTTTGTGTTTGTGAGCAGAGCCCCGGGACCAGCTTGCTTAGGGGACTCTTCACCAGGTTCATCTCTCTGTAGGTGATGGCTTTGTTATGGAAGGTTTGGGAATCGCTTCCTTTTAGGTGGTTGTAGAATTTAACGACTCTTTTCTGGATTTTGATAATTAGCGTGTATTGGCCTAATTCTGCTCTGCATGCATTATTTTAATTTTTTAATTTTAATTTTTAATTATTTGCATTATTTGGTGTTTTACGTTGTACACGTAGGATATTTTTGCAGAAATCTGCATGCAGAGTCTCAATTTGTTGTTTGTCCCATTTTGTGAATTCTTGGTTGGTGAGCGGACCCCAGACCTCACAATCATAATGGACAATGGGTTCTATAACTGATTCAAGTATTTGGTATGTCAAATTCTATGTTCCTTTTGATGGCATAGAAGGCTCTTTTTGCCTTGTCTCTAAGATCGTTCACAGCTTTGTGGAAGTTACCTGTGGTGCTGATGTTTAGGCCGAGGTATGTATAGTTTTTTGTGTGCTCTAGTGCAACGGTGTCTAGATGGAATTTGTATTTGTGGTCCTGGTAACTGGACCATTTTTGCAACACCATTATTTTTGTCTTACTTAGATTTTGTGTCAGGGCCCAGGTCTGACAGAATCTGTGCAGGTGCTGCTGTAGGCCCTCCTTGGTTGGGGACAGAAGCACCAGATCGTCAGCAAACAGTAGACATTTGACTTCAGATTCTAGTAGGGTGAGGCAAGGTGCTGCAGACTGTTCTAGTGCCCTTGCCAATTCGTTGATATATATGTTGAAGAGGGTGGGGCTTAAGCTGCATTCCTGTCTCACCCCACGGCCCTGTGGAAAGAAATGTGTGTGTTTTTTGCCAATTTTAACCGCACACTTGTTGTTTGTGTACATGCATTTTATAATGTTGTATATTTTTCCCCCAACACCACTTTCCATCAATTTGTATAGCAGACCCTCATGCCAAATTGAGTCAAAAGCTTTTTTGAAGTCAACAAAGCATGAGAAGACTTTGCCTTTGTTTCGGTTTGTTTGTTTGTCAATTAGGGTGTGCAGGGTGAATACGTGTTCTGTCGTACGGTAATTTGGTAAAAAGCCAATTTGACATTTGCTCAGTACATTGTTTTCACTGAGGAGATGTACAAGTCTGCTGTTAATGATAATGCAGAGGATTTTCCCAAGGTTGTTGTTGACGCATATCCCACGGTAGTTATTGGGGTCAAATTTGTCTAAACTTTTGTGAATTGGGGTTATCAGTCCTTGCTTCCAAATATTGGGGAAGATGCCAGAGCTTAGGATGATGTTAAAGAACTCTCTCTCTCTTTCTCTCTCTCCTTTGCTCTCTGTACCTCTCTCTCTCTCTCTGTACCTCTCTCGCTCTCTCTGTACCCCCCTCTCTCTCACTCTCTCGCTCTTTCTCCCTGCTCTGTTTTTCTGGAAAACCCAGCATTAGATTAATTTGGATGAAGGCTTTGCATGATGAAGTGGTGTTCATAAATGCAAATGTATGCAAATGTCAATGAGGTTATAACATAAGAATAACCAGTTGTAATAATAGATAAGATAAAAACGACTGTTCAGTACCCAGCTGCCTGCTACTGTTCATGGGCTCTGTCACACTAGTTAATCATCAGCAATGACAAACAGTTATTTGCTTGAAAACAGGTTACACCGCTTCGCTGATACGGATTCTATACTGTTTTAGGTCAGATTAATATATAGAATGCCTACGTGGTGGATGCAGGCGATACTTTGAAACCATGCTATCATTTTATCAAACTGTCTAGTTTGTGGTCAAGGATATTTCCATTATTCTCCCGAGGAGCTTGATGCATTTGATGTTAGTTAGTGTGCAGGTTCAGCTATGGTTATGGCTGTGTTATGTTTTAGGGAGAGGCAGTGGAAGTAACTCTTTACAGTTATATACCTGGTTACGCACCATTGTACAATAAAATGCTATTTTATGGTCAAACTGCATCTGGGTCAATTGAGGCTTTGCATGGTTTTGGATGGTATTTATTTTACTGCATGACGTTTTACAACATTTAAGTTTACAGTTTTATTGCGGAAAAGCATATGCAGTTGCATGAGATTTATCCTTTTAAAAGTTTGTGACGCTGTTATGTAATGGAGAGTTTTACCTTGTCCTCCTCATTGTGTGAAACATTGATTGAACTCCAAAAAGAGAAGGAAAGCCCTGCAAACAGAAGTGTGTCTAGATCCAGTTTAGATTGATTAAACTCAATTAGATGCACTCATAAACAATTGACTACACAATATGGGCTAATGGGTGCACTTTATATGCCAGTGTGGGGAAGCAGTCACTAACTCCCAATGTGTGTGTTTTTGTCTCTAGACACTGTCCTGGAGAAGGCCATGCACAAATGTGTGTTGAAACCGCTGAAGGGCGTAGTGGAGGTGGCCCTGCACGACTTCCAGGTGCGCTTTGTCTTCCATTGCAGTATCTGTTAATATCATAATTGATTCTGAAAGTTAGCAGAACGTTAGTCAAAGAGCTAATTTCTTTTAACAGGATATATTTAATATGCGGTGTTTACACTAAGGAGAATCCTGAACTTTATGTTATCATAACCACAGGTCTGAGAGGCTTTTCCCCTTCTAGTAATTACATTTCTATGTTATAAATAGAATAAATAGAAGGAACAATGATCATAGAAATATAATTAATAGATGCCAATCATGATGATGATTCATAACTTTGTTTGTCTAGTAATTCTATATCTATAATCATAACCTTGACCTTCCTCTCTGTACTCTCCAATTTAAGCATTGGGGCTTTGTCCCTTCTAATAACTCAATTTCTATGCTCCTAACCTTCTCCTCTTTCCTCTCCTCCTAGGTGAGCAGTGGAGGCTGGCAGCAGCTGAGGGAGAACCTGGCCCTGGCTAAAACACGGAGGCCCCAGGACCTGGGTGTGGACGGGGCCGTGCCCCCTGACCCCGTAGCCATCGAGAAGATCCGCCACAAGTTCCAAAACATGAGGAAGATGTACTCCCCGGATAAGAAGGTGTCGCTGCTGCTCCGAGTGTGTAAACTCATTTACACCATCATGCAGGATAACTCTGGTAGGTGGGATTGGGGGGAGGATGTGTTTTGGGAGGGTGCATGTGCAGAGAGTGTGGATGAGCTCCACATATTTGTCTATACCTGTACATGATTGTGTATAACACAAGGTTGGGATCAATTCCATTTCATTTCAGTAAATTCAGGAAGTAAACTAAAAAGCAATTCTTCTGTTTGATATTTTTTTGTAAAACAAACAAAATTCTATAGACCCCCAACCCTGTTTTATCTGCATGCTTCTGTGTGTGTTTTCATCTGACCACACCCTTCCTAAACCTCACCTTGCCTTTCCCCTCTGTTGTGGGTAGTGTGTGTACACCTTCCTTTGTTTCATCTCAGGGGAGTATTGTACGGAAGATGACTTCCTGCCATGCTGGGCTACGTTAAGGGAAAGGGGGGAGCAAGGAAGGGAGGAATAGGGAGAGAGAGAGAGAAGAGAAGGAGAGAAGAGCGAGAGAGAGAGAGCGGGGGGAGCGCAGGAGAGAGAGAGAGACGAGAAGCAGCGAGGGAGAGCGGGGGGAGAGGGGCGAGAGAGGAGGAGCGCGAGAGAGAGAGAGGGAGAGATGGGACGAGAGAGGAGAGAGCGAGAGAGAGAGAGGGAGGGAGAAGAGAGAAGAGAGAGAGAGAAGGAGAGCAGAGGGCGCGAGGGAGAAGAGAAAACCGCAGAGGGAGAGGGGAGAAGAGAAGCGAGAGAGAGAGATGCGAGAGGGAGAGAGAACAAGCGCGAGCAGAGACGAAGGGGAGAGATACACGAGAGAGGAAAAAGAGCGAGAGAGCAGGGCGAGAGAGAGATCGAGCGCGAGAGAGATCGGGAGGTCTGAGCGGGCGAGAGTGATTTCGAGCGCTCGACATAAGCGAGAGAGAGGAGCGAGAGAGAGTAGGTATCGATGTATAGTCTATCAGAGAGAGAGCCTAGGTTCGGTCTCGTAGCTCGATCGCTCGCTCGATATATAATTTCTCTCTTTCTCTTTCTCGCTCTCCCCTCTCCCTCTCTCTTCTCTTTCTCCTCTCCTCTCGCTCTCTCTCTCTTTTCTCTCGCTCTCTTTCTCTCTCTCTCTCTCTCTCTCTCTCTTTCTCTCTCTCAGGGAGGATGTACGGAGCAGATGACTTCCTACCAATGCTGACCTATGTCCTGGCCCAGTGTGACATGCCTCAGCTGGACACTGAGATTCTCTACATGATGGAGCTGCTGGACCCCTCACTGCTGCATGGAGAGGGTAGGTCTACCATCACATAATGACACTGGATTCAATACCACAGTATACAGTTTACCTGGACTGATCATAGAAGAGAGGAGGTCTACCTGATCTATCTCTACCTTTATCTATCAGAATGAGTCAAGCTCATGTTGTGTCATGCTGTAAAGAGACCCAGTGAACATGCCGTCTTGCAAGGTTTTGGGGTGACAGATCTCACCTTCACACAAGTACAGAAGGCAGTGTCTGGACTGACAATAGGTCTGCCTGAACCAATCATAGTCCAACATCAGGAACTTGGGTCAGGACAACACAATCTGGTTAGTTTTCTATCAAGTCCTCCTGTGTGTCCGTATCACAAACCAAAGTAAAAACACAGCCCTAACTCACTCTAACTCACAGTAATATTAGATCTAGACAGGTCTATAATAAATTACATCTAGAATCTTGGTACACTCTACCTAACATCATTGTTTTCTGCAATAAACAGACATTTTATCTTGAAATCAAGTTCATAACCATGAATATGTGTTAGTTGAAGTCATGCAGGGCAACTACAGGTCAAGTTTAAGCCCAGACTGGAAGGCAGGCTTGGTAGGAAACAAGTTTGTTCCACAGGAAGACGATGTGACTTAAATGGATTGGAATGTTCATAAGGTGTGGGTGGGTTCCCTTGGAAAAGGTATTGTCCCGCTAGTGAGGGGCTTCCTGATGATTATCTTGCCAGGGCACTTCCTCTAATCTAGGGTATGTGTTTGTGTCCTGTTTTCAGTCCCACACAGACTGTAGGAGTGCAATGCAATATACTCACTTATACACCAGAATGTATTCTTCACCAACACACAAACCATATGCATCATTTTCCACTTCGTATGGCCTCGTTGAACCATTAACACGTCCACAGTCAAACCACAGCATGCCCATATTAACATGTATAATATTTATCTTCCTGGTTCTCCTTCCTTCCCTGCCTGCTCTCTCCTTCTCCCCATCCCTCCCTCTCCCAGGTGGCTACTACCTGACCAGTGCGTACGGGGCCATGGCTCTTATCAAGAACTTCCAGGAGGAACAGGCAGCCAGGGTCCTCAGCTCCGAGGCCAGAGACACCCTGCACCAGTGGCACCGCCGACGCACCGCCCAGCGCATGGCACCCTCCGTGGATGACTTCCAGGTATCGCCCTGACCCCCATCTGACCCCCAGGCAGTGAGTTTGAAAGAACACCCCCCTAAAACGCCTCCCACGAGACCGGGGGACTGGATCTGCATGGCTCCAGTGTGAAGTTTCCCTTAAGTACAGATCTAGGATCAGCTTTCTTTCCCCCAATCCTAACCTTAACCATTAGTTGGGGGAAATGCAAAACTGACCCAAGATCAGCATCAAGGGGCAACTTCACTCTACACCAATCTGCATGAGAAGCACCGGTGCTGACATGCCGAGACTATCCTTCTATATCCGGATCTGTATTAAAAAATGATCTTGAGCTATGAATACACTTTTGGAAGAAAAAGATGTGGTTTATTTTCGGGTTAGGGGTAATCTAGGAGGGAGTGATATTGAGAAGGAAGCTGATAGGTAGATGAGATAGGACTATTCTAATGCATGTGATTGTGCACTAATGAAGCATTGTCTTGGTTTTCTCTGTTAGCCCTGAAATGGCTGTATCCTCCTGTAAATGCCATAATAAGGATAGAGGCTATAGAGCCGTATCAGAGCTACTTCACCTTTCTCCCTGTGTGTCTTCACAGAACCCAAACTTCATTCCTGTGTATTTGTGTCTTAGTTCTGTTCCTGCATGTGCACCTGCATATAACTGATATCCGTGTCACGTTCTCTCTCTCTCTTTGTGTCATTTTCTCGGTGTACTTCTGTCTCCATCTATGTGTTTTTGCATGTGTATGTTTTGTATCTGTTTTGTATGTTTGCATATATGTATTTTTGTATCAATGATACCTGTATCACGTTCCTTGTACCTCTTCTCCTTCAGAACTACCTGCGAGTCGCCTTACAAGAAGTCAACAGCGGCTGCACAGCCAAAACCCTCCTAGTCCACCCGTACTCCACCACTGAAGAAGTATGCTCGCTCTGCGCCTACAAGTTCAAAGTTCATGACCCCGAGAACCACGACCTCTTTCTCATCACTGAGGCAACCAGTCAGCAGCTTGCCCCAGACACACACCCCCAGCGAATCAAAGCGGAGATACACAGCCGCCCGAACTCGCCGCCCTTCCATTTTGTCTACCGCAGAGTGCCCAACCTTAACCTGTGTATACCAACTATCCCAGCTAACCAGCACAGTGGCAACTGCCTACTGCCTAGCCAACTGGATGAATGAAACTTTATTGAAATGAAATTAAACTTTATTGATCCCTAGAGGGGACATTGGATTTGACACCAGCGTACAAACACATACAGGGACAATTCAGACTCATACATCAGAACACACAGACCTGAGAGAGCACCGTTGGCTGGTGGAACAAGTACAATACCTGAATGGTGAGACTGAGGATGTCCTAATATGGACACTGTGCACATATCCATAGAATGATAGTGAATGGCGTACATGGAAAAAATGCACTGTATGTTTAAACTATAGGGTCATAGTCTGATGTTGATTCTACACTAGTCTGTAGTAGAAGAGAGGTTTAGCATTAGCTGAGCTCTGTTGCTGACATCTTGTGTGTTGTGAAGGGATCCAAGACTACTCAATGGAAAAGTAGTTCCTATTCTTCTAAAATGAGACACAAAGAGGAAGCAGGTGTGGAGAGAAGTGTCTGGTGTCTGCATGCATTTCTCTTTTTAGGGATACGGCACGTGAGCGTCAGGAGTTGGTTGGTCAAGAAACACCCTTGTACAGGATCTTTTGTGAGGTCATCGGACCAGGAAGTTCTCTTACATCACATCCTGACTGTCTGTTTTCGTTACAAGGACAAATGGACATGCATGCTCCTCTTGCAGAAGTCAGTGTATCTGACTGTCTTCTTCGAACACTGGGACCTGGTTAGAGAACGCAGAGCTTCTGCTCCTTTCCAGTGCTTGACTTGGTCAGGAGCTCAACGGAGCTGAGTACCAGTACCTCAAATGTTCTGCTGCTTGAGCTCCTGTTCCTCTTATAGAATATTAGCTCAACAGTAATGTGGAGCTTCTGCACCTGAATTTTAACAGTACCGGCACCCAAAATCAAGTCAAGCGCTGCTCCTTTCTGTCAACACATAGAATGGGATGACCTGACTGTGTGATCTCACAGTTGTCTTTTACATTACTTCTGGGGCTCGATTCAATCTGTATCGCCGAAATTCAGCGCTATAGCAGCAGGTTGACGTTTATTGTCATGAATCTTGCTGAATCTTGCTGGAGGCAGCAGTGGGTGATTTCTGCCAGATGGGACAGCTGCAAAGCCAAGATTGTCTATATCGTAAAAATCCATGTAAACAAAATGTAGCTTTTTGGTCTTCATTTAAGGTTAGGGTTAGGCATTCGGGTTAGCAGTGTGTTTAAGGTTAGAGTTAAGGTCAGGGTTTGGTTTAAAATCGGATTTTTATGACTTTGTGGCTGTGCCAGCTAGTAACCACACTGCAGAGCTGCCTCCAGGGCAAGTTTCATGACAATAAATGCCAATTTCTGATTGAGCCGACAAATGCAGTTTACCGTGAATGTAGTCTCCATAAACGTGGGAACATTGCCTTTAAATTTAAATCGCGCTATAACTCTGAACTTCAGCAATATGGATTGAATCGAGCCACCCCACTGGGCACAAACTGGTGGAATCAATGTTGTTTCCACGTCATTTCAATTAAATGACGTTGAAACAACATGGATTAGACATTGACTTGACGTCTGTGCCCAGTGGGCCTGGTGTAATGTGTGAAGAAGCTAAACAGATGATATGTGATAGTTGGCTGGACTTTCATGTGGATTTGGCAACCCCTATAAGATCATTGAAGAATGACTTGCAGCAGTATGGACATCATATCAACTTGCATACTCTTGAGTCTACAAACTAACTGCCATTTGCAATGCCATTATATTCAAATAAAAGAGAAACCCGCACACTACTCTTCCTCGTATTACTTATTTTAAAATATTATGCTTTAATACGAGCAAGAGCAATGTGCGGGTTTCTCATTTCTTTGAGGTTATCATATTCCCACGCATATGCAATCAGATAACGCAGGTGTGCGAGTGCTTTTTTTAAACGCAATTATATCAAATGATATAAGTGAATATATTTTGTATTATTATTTTGCTGCAATTGCTGGTCAACTGTAGACAATGTAAAAGTGTAGATTGTGTTTTTATAGGAAAATCATATTTTATTTGGATTGAAAACGTAACCAGTGTTCCTGAGATCATTTCCCCCTCATGCCGTTCAATTTTATGCCAGTAAGTTAAACCAATAAATATTTTGGAGACAGAATCTGAATTGACTCAACTAAACTTTTGTCTAGATCAACTGCCTCAGCAAATGGAAATGACTATAGTCAAAGTTGTTCTAGAAAGTTTATTGGTTGACGATAAAATAATATTTTTGTTTCTATCTGTTATCTATAGGGGTCAATGGCTGATTTCTTATAAGCTATTGAGAAGAAACTACAATCTAAACTAATTTCCCCTTGAGGATTAATAAAGTACAATCTCATCTCAGTCAGTATTAGTGTGTATTACTGAGAGAGTTTGGTGATCTCTAAAAAGAGAACCATCATCAGTTTTATTGAGATAAGTATTGTACAGTCAGTTGATATAATGGTAATCATTAGGTTACAACATAACTATTTCTAACAATTTCACTACTGCACATACTGAAATTCTCCTCACACACTTTGTAATCGCTAACACCTGTATGATTTTTCCATCACTGTTTTGCTGTATTCAAATTTGACAAGTAGAAACGGATATGTAGTATGTTCGGTTAATATGATGGCACTTAATGCAATGCTTAAAACACTACTGCTAAACCAACCAAACTGTATTTTTTATCTTGTATATGTTCTGGGGGATTTTAATTTATTTTTGAATTGGGATGTAAATGCAAAGAAAGTTGATGAAATGAGGGGGGTAAAATATGGGGGATGGTGGTGGGTGTCCTCTCCCAAATGCCCTGTAGTCTTTTGCACACATTAAAACTCAATTGCCCTATTATGGTTCTTTTGTTGACCATAGTGACCATTTTATTTGTCATATTGGACTAAAGTGGGAATGAATATACTTTAAGAATGAGGAATGAAGAAGATTAGCCTACATTTGGAGATGTTTTCACCTCTCCTACCAAGAACACCCCCCCCCCCCCCCCCCCCCCCCACCCCCCCCATTCTCTCCTGCCTTCTTCAACCCCTACATTTTCGATTGAATTTCCACTTTCAGGGAAAAGATGCATTTTCGAATGTTACTCTACAAACAGTTACTGTCCTTTGAATAAAAACACCACAATGTAATACATTTTATCCGTTTTATTTGTAGATTACATTTAGCAAATCACAAATGTGAAACATTAAATGCAGAAATTAGTATTTGTGTAAATATATTCATGATATAAACAAGAGTCGTTAAAGCTAGATCGGACACAGTATTATCCTCCTCGGTGCATGAATTCATCTCTTCTCCTCTCCTTTCTTGTGCATGTTTTCGATCTGGTGTTATTTTCCATAAGCATGTGGTGGCCAACACTTCAACTGTCTCTTGACTTTAGACTTGAGCCTTTTTAGACCACAATGCGTGATTAATGTGATAGCCCGGCAAACTCTATCGCATGTGATCCATATAAAAGCCCTCTCGCAGGAGTCCATCGAAATCTTTGGGGCGGATGACGGTGGGGATGTGTTGGCTTTCCAACTCCTCATGGATCTCCTCAGTGCTATATCGAGGGATCTCTGGTCTGAGTAAATGGCCGGTCAGCGCACTGACGTCCAAGTGTATAGCACATCATTAAATCGTATCTCGATGTAAATAGATGCAAGGTGGGCGTTTCTTCCCTGTGAGAAGGACCACAGTAATCCCGGCATGACGTCATAGGCGCGGGAAGTAGGGGTGCTGAGGGTGTTGCAGCACCCCCTGACAAATCAGAATCTTTTTTTGAAATAAACAACAACAAAAAATCACAAAAGTAGTGCATTGGGCCAATACTAGTCCTGTATTAGTGGACTGATATAGCCATCTGAAGCACACCCAACATTTTCATTCACATTGATGAGTGATAACTAACCATGGATTGATTATTCAACATTGCTCATATCGCTCACCCATAATCAAATCAAATCAAATGTTATTTGTCACATACACGTGTTTAGCAGATGTTATTGCGGGTGTAGCGAAATGCTTGTATTTCTAGCTCCGACAGTGCAGTAATATCTAACAAGTAATATCTAACAATTTCACAACATATACCCAATACACACAAATCTAAGTAAAGCAATGGAATTAAGAATATATAAATATATGGACAAGCAATGTCAGAGCGGCATAGACTAAGATACAGTAGAATAGTATAGAATACAGTATATACATATGAGATGAGTAATGCAAGATATGTAAACATTATTAAAGTGACTAGTGTTACGTTTATTAAAGTGGCCAGTGATTTCTAATCTACGTATATAGGCAGCAGCCTCTGTGCTAGTGAAGGCTATTTAACAGTCTGATGGCCTTGAGATGTTTTTCAGTCTCTCTGTCCCAGCTTTGATGCACCTGTACTGACCTCGCCTTCTGGATGATAGCGGGGTGAACAGGCAGTGGCTCGGGTGGTTGTTGTCTTTGATGATCTTTTTGGCCTTCCTATGACATCGGGTGCTGTAGGTTTCCTGGAGGGCTGGTAGTTTGCCCCCGGTGATGCGTTGGGCAGACTGCACCACCCTCTGGAGAGCCCTGCAGTTGCGGGCGGTGCAGTTGCCGTACCAGGCGGTGGTACAGCCCGACAGGACGCTCTCAATTTTGCATCTGTAAAGGTTTGTGAGGGTTTTAGGTGCCACACCACATTTTTTCAGCCTCCTGAGGTTGAAGAGGCACTGTTGCGCCTTCTTCACCACACAGTCTGTGTGGGTGGACCATTTCAGTTTGTCAGTGATGTGTACGCCAAGGAACTGGAAGCTTTCCACCTTCTCTACTGCGGTCCCATCGATGTTTCTTGAAGTCCACGATCATCTCCTTTGTTTTGTTGATGTTGAGTGAGAGGTTATTTTCCTGGCACCACACTCCCAGAGCCCTCACTTCCTCCCTGTAGGCTGTCTCGTCATTGTTGGTAATCAAGCCTACTACTGTTGTGTCATCTGCAAACTTGACGATTGAGTTGGAGGCGTGCTTGGCCACTCAGTCATGGGTGAACAGGGAGTACAGGAGGGGGCT